TGAGGGGTGTAGGGAACAGTCTTTTATGTCTAGTTATGCCGCTTTCTTTACACATACTATCAAATTCTTTATTGCAGAATTCTAGGCCATTATCAGTCCTTAAAAAATTTGATTTTCTTACCAGTCTGGTTCTCCACTTGTCTCTTCCAATTAATAAAACTATTGAAAGTATCAGATTTATCCTTCAAAAGATAGACCCACACTTTCCTAGTGTAGTCATCAATAATAGACAGGAAATACCTATTACCACCCGATGTGGGGTTACTGGCAGGGCCCCAAAGGTCAGAGTGCACATATTCGAGCATGCCTTTAGCTCTATTAACACTCGTGGAGAAAGAAGTTTTGTGATGCTTACCAAGCACACAATGATCACAAAATGGCAAATCTGACACACAGTCATTACCAAAAGCACCATTTTCATTAAGTAGCTTAAGTCCCTTGACTCCTACGTGAGCAAGCCTATTGTGCCATGTGTGTGTGTGATCAATCTTGACAGAGAAGATAGAGGTATTCATATCTCTAATCACTTCCCCAGTAGTAATGTATATATCGTTTTTCTTAATTCCCTTAATGGAAACTAAAGCACCCTTGATCATTTTTAGCATACCATTTCCAATTTTACCAGTAAAGTCATCCTTCTCAAGTCTCCCTACTGAAATCAAATTCCTAGACAATTCAAGAATATATCTAACATCCTTTAACGTATACGCAAAACCCGTGTCAAATTTTACGTTTATGTCACCAATTCCAGCGATAGTATAGGCAAAGTTATCACACAGCACAACATGCCCAACTTTAGATTCATGCAACTTACAAAACCAGTTCTTTTTAGACGTCACATGAAAAGATGCACCAGAATCAAGTATCCACTCTTGAATGCGGGAATTAGCAGTTAGATTTAATTTAGCAGTGTATGCAGCTGGACTTGTAATCATATAGACCTCACCACCACTTATATCAGAAGTGGATGCTAACACATTTACCTCATCTCTCTCCTTAGCTTTTAGCTTACCCTTCTCCTTATGACAATCCTTTATAAAGTGCCCTGTGTTTCCACAACCATAGCATTTTCTCGCCTTAGTTCTAGATTTTGATCTGGACCTACCTTTGCCCTTCTTTTTCCATCCATTACCACTTGACTCGCCACTAGTTTGATATCCCTCATGACTATTTTGCCTAAATTGAGTTCTACCCCGCATCATATGTACTTCACCATTCCTTTTATCATGTTTTTCAGCCTTAATTTCCATTTCTTTACTTCTAAGAGAATCTATGACAATTTCAGGTGTTAACGTGTCTCTGCCATACTTAATGGCATTCTTAATTTCCTTATAGGAATCAGGGATTGCATTTAGCAAAATTATAGCCTTATAAGTTTCGGACACAATCTCATCACAATTAACTATGTCTTGCACCAGTTTGTTAAACACGTCTAGATTGTCATCCAGATCCTTTGAAGAATCCATTTTGAAACTGAAAAAACGTTCAAGCAGGTAAAGCTTATTAGGTGTAGACTTAAGCAAATACAAGTCTTCTAATTTCTTCCAAAGTTCTTTGGTGTTTTTTAATTTACCCACCTTTCTTAAAACAGCGTCAGACAAGTGTAGGATAATTGAGGTATAAGCAAGCTCATCGGCTTCTTCTTTTTGTTCTTGTGAAAAATCAGTTGAAAAATTGCCTTCAATGGCTTTTGAAACTTTTTGTTGGACTAAAATACCCTTCATTTTTTGTTGCCAAATAGCAAAGTCACCCTTTCCGTTAAAAATTCCCAAATCAAAACTATGAGTTGTCATCTTCACACAATAGCCAAAAAATGCACAAACCACAATCAAACCACACAAAGTAGTCCTAGGGGTCACAATAATATACTCCGTTCTAGATTCCCAGGGTTTCGTAAGACTCGCAGTCTTAGATCAAGGGAATGTTCGAAAAGGTAAAGTCACGGTATTTCTAACGGAATAAGTAAGCAGCGGAAATAACAATGCAGCAAAAATACGTCTAACAGATAACTAGTCCCACAATAATTTTGATCACCAAGAATTACAAAACTGATTTTAAACCCCAAAAACAAATACTCAATCAAAAGGATCAATTAAGAGCACATAACCCTAATTCTAGCACAAGCAATGGTTGCCAAGCAATGACAACCCCCAACCTATTGTCACCCCACACGGTGACGCGCTAATGCTGAAAAATTAACGGGTTAAGCCAATTTACCAGAGCGGACGTGTCTGAGTCCGTATTATCGAGAGAGATGCAAATCTACTGCTTTAGGACCGCAATCTTGGCCTAAAGTAATTCAGTAGATATATGCTGATTCAACCGTCGATCCACAGGGGGCAAAATTGTCCAACTTTTTCTGTATAACCTGAAACAGAAAATAAACAGTGTCAGTGCGTTCAGGGGAATAAAATAAGCAAACTGCCCGAAGGAAGCTCGCCAGGAACCGCCGCCACGCGCCGTCGCCATGCGCCACAGCCAAGGGAGCGCCTCAACCTGCTAAACCTGGATATGGGTTCGGTTTCGCCGAAAAGTGGCTGGATTGGCCGGAAATCAAGGTTGCAGCCGCGGTTCCTCAACCCCAAAACGCGATTTGCCGTCGATTTTTGACAAATTTCAAGCCGGGAAAGCTTCAACTAGCTCTGATACCACCTGTAGAACCGAATTCCACAGCCAAGCAGTGCAAAACCGGACTCAGTTTACCATAAACATCGACACCATTTCTTGAGACAACTCCAATACCACCTTGTGCCACCACGGTCCGGTTGCTATGGATATGGGAAGAAGAAGGCCAAGAAAATACCCACAATATATCAACCACAAAGGTCACAGAGAGGGAGGGAAGAAACGGCCGAGAGAGAGGGAAGCTCACAAAGAGGGTTTTTTCACTCTAAATGGAGGCCAAGAGGTTGAGAGGAATATATGCCAAGAGTATTGTCCAAACAAGGTAAGTTACAATTAGGGCTAAGTGGTGGATCAAAGGCTCGACTCAAATAATTGGGCCTCAACAATAATAACATAGCCTTCCAAGAAATGGTGCGAGAACCGTGAGCAACACTATAAAATAGGTTACTTCGAACGGTCCATAACAAAATGGATTGTGTCGTCTCGTTAATTGTGTCGATGTGCTAATCAATCATTAGGCCGAGGCCGATTGATAATAAACAACCGAGGTTACATCATCGCCCGGGGAGGTCGTTTGACAACAAAATTGCCTAACAAAAAAGAATCTATTACATTATTTTACGCATGCAAAGCCCTTTCTAAAAGCTTAGACCTTTGCTTGAGGTGATTCAGCATTGCATAAGAGCAAGCAAATGACCTGGTTTCTAGTTTTGTCGCTATTGATTAAGAAAATTTTTGCATGTGGTCTTTGATAAAGAGTGAAACAGGACGGATTTGGTGAGGGACTGAGTGTTATATATATATAATCATGATCTCCTAAGCAGCGATACTTAACTTATACTAAGCACCGAATGACGTGGCACACTATAATAGGTGGTGAAAGATAATGGTTAGTTTTAAAACTAATTACACCACCTATTTACTATGCCACCGAGCATGGTGCTTAATTTTTTTCGCCTATTAGCCTGGTTTAAAATTTTTTAGCCTAATATTGGATCTAATCCTGGATTCGTCGCTGGTGAAACTAAATTTAAATAAATTAGTGTCTCTTTTCTAAAAGTTTAAGGCTTTTTGATGAGTTGTTTTAACATTCTTCTTAGTGAGTGAATATTCAGCACATCTTTGGGATGTAGGAAAGTGTGACACAAATCATTAAGACCAGATATAGGAAATTCTAGTGCACGTAGCAACAAAACGAATAATGTGGTGAAAAATTATTCATGTACGTGAACTCACATACATTCCATGAAACAAGTTGTATCAGCAATAAACTAAACTTTATTCTCAATAAATTTGGAGTCGAGTATATGAATCATTTTTCCTCATTCCATTCGACTTTATCACTAAATCTATCTAAATTTTCATGTTAATAGCTTATAATTTTGGAATTAGATGTATTGTGTGGTGTTCAAGAAATAAAAACTCAAGAAGTTTTTGCACTCTGCAGAGATTGAAAATAAAGTAGGAAGGATTCTTAAGCTGATCAAAAGTGTTAATCAAGGGAATAGAGAGAATAAGATGAAGAAAAAGTCAGAACTTTTCCAACACATTGAGGATTTCCACAGAAAGTACCTATCCCTCTACTCTCTTTATGAAGATTTAAGAGGAGAAGTGAGAAAAAAGCTAAACAGCAATGATGATGACAGTTCTTCTACTTCCACCTCAGATTCCGAATCTGACGATTCTCCAAATGATTCGAAACGTAATATTATTACAAGTGAAGATTTAGAAGATGTTGTTTTGAAGGATAAGCTAACTTCAACAGTTAAAACTATAGACTTGGATTCACATTCAACTTTAGAATTATCGAGGGATGAATCCCGTGATAATCTTAAGGACCTCAAGGTTCAAGATGAGCATACGGAATATGTAAAGCAAAGAGCGATGGATGATTCTATCTTGTTAAAGGAGAAATTGTTTGAAAGAGTGGAATATCCAGTGGATGAAGGCAAAAAATTTGTTCAGAGGAAGGATGACTTTGAGGGTCAGGCCTCGAGCTTGAATCCTGAGATTGAAGCCCTTTTCACAGAGAAAAGAGAAATGGAAGAAAGGATTGACTGCACATTGAATGAAGCTGAAGAACTGAAAACAAAGAATTCAGAACTGAAAGCTCAGATTTTGGAACTTGAAGAGAAATGTAGACAAAAAGATGATCATTTTTCTGTTCTTATGAAAAATTCTGAGGAAAATGAGCAACACTATAAATCTAGAATTGAAGGCCTCATGGAACAAGGGAATTCTTTTGAACTCGAAATGAATATTTTGCACACTCAGAAAGGTAAATTGGAACAACAGGTCCAAGAAGGATCTTCTCGAGTTGAGGACTTGATGAAGCAAGTTAATTTTCTGCAGCAGGAACTGGAGACTATGAGATACCAGAAAGCACAATTAGAGTTTGAACTCGAAAAGAAATCAAAAGAAGCATCGAATTACGTTAATCAGATCAAGATTTTGAACGAAAAATTGACAACACTGCAGGGGACGACGGAGGAGAAAGAAGGCCTAAAACTGCAGCTACAAGATTTAGAACTTGAGGTTAAGTCTTTAAACACAAAGAAAAATGACTTGGAAGAGAAGATAGTACGAATAAATGACGAAGCTTATCAGTCGAGGGTCGAAAAAGAGGAACTGCAGAAAAAATTCTCTGGATTGGAAAGATCTCTTTTGAAGATGGAAAATGAAGTTATCAAGCTTGAGAACGATTTGGATGCATTACGAAGTGAGAAGAACAGATTAGAGCTCGATCTTGAGACGGAGGAACAAAATTCTGGGATTTGTATATCGAATATGGAAAAGAAAAACATTGAATTAACTGACAAGTTGGACGAAATTAGGGAAGAACACAAACAACAGTCGAAATCAAGCTTTCAAATGGCAGAAAGAAAGATAGAAGAAATGGCAGAAGAATTCCGAAAACAGTTTGAAGACAATCTCCGTATTATGAGCCGGAGAATACGAGTTGCAGAACAGTTACACGCAGAGAACAAGGATTGTTACTTGAAGACGAAGGAAATTTATGAGCAAGAAAACAAAGAACTTGAAGAAAGATATGGAAAAGCTGAGGTTGGACTTAAGAATATTATTGAATTATCATTAACAGTAAAAGATATGCTGAATTCATTAGACACAGTGGGATTAAAGTTTGAGGAATGCACTGCTAATTTCTTGAATAGAATCTCAAAAGTTTCTTGTGAATTGAAATTCACAAAGGATTGGGTGAGGAGGAAGAACAAGGCAGCAATGCATTTGAAAGATGATTTAAATTGTTTACTTAGTCAAATGGATGAAAAAGAAGCAGAGATATTAGTATTCAGAGAGAGAGTTTGGAAGTCAGAAAATAAAGTTAGAGAATTGGAGAAAATGAACAAACATAATGAAGATGGGATGTTAGTAATGCAGGAGGAGAAGAGGGAGGCAATCAGGCAGCTTTGTGTATGGATCGACTATCATCGGAGTCGATCCGATTATTACAAGAAATTACTAACAGAGGTAACTCCGGGTTACCGAAGAACGTCTTAAAACTTCTGTTTCAGTAGTATGACGTCGAAGTCTATGTCGATGAGGAGCACTCAACCGGGCTCAATATAGAAAGGTTCTCATTTTTTAAATTTATTTCCCCGGTGTCGGAGGTAAGGGAGTGGAGTTGTGCATCCGTGCCCTTCGATTGCTTGTCTAGAAGCTGTTTTGTTCGTGACCTCGTTTTTGTTAGGGAAAATTGCATCTTTGTTACCGCACCGTCGATTCTCAATCTTCTGTTATATAATTATACAATCATTTTGGAAATTGAAGAAAGATATGGAAAAGCTGAGGTTGGACTTAAGAATATTATTGAATTATCATTAACAGTAAAAGATATGCTGAATTCATTAGACACAGTGGGATTAAAGTTTGAGGAATGCACTGCTAATTTCTTGAATAGAATCTCAAAAGTTTCTTGTGAATTGAAATTCACAAAGGATTGGGTGAGGAGGAAGAACAAGGCAGCAATGCATTTGAAAGATGATTTAAATTGTTTACTTAGTCAAATGGATGAAAAAGAAGCAGAGATATTAGTATTCAGAGAGAGAGTTTGGAAGTCAGAAAATAAAGTTAGAGAATTGGAGAAAATGAACAAACATAATGAAGATGGGATGTTAGTAATGCAGGAGGAGAAGAGGGAGGCAATCAGGCAGCTTTGTGTATGGATCGACTATCATCGGAGTCGATCCGATTATTACAAGAAATTACTAACAGAGGTAACTCCGGGTTACCGAAGAACGTCTTAAAACTTCTGTTTCAGTAGTATGACGTCGAAGTCTATGTCGATGAGGAGCACTCAACCGGGCTCAATATAGAAAGGTTCTCATTTTTTAAATTTATTTCCCCGGTGTCGGAGGTAAGGGAGTGGAGTTGTGCATCCGTGCCCTTCGATTGCTTGTCTAGAAGCTGTTTTGTTCGTGACCTCGTTTTTGTTAGGGAAAATTGCATCTTTGTTACCGCACCGTCGATTCTCAATCTTCTGTTATATAATTATACAATCATTTTCTAATAACGAAAATTTTCAACACCTATTTTAGTCATTGTGTGACCATCACATATTCAACTTGAGGAGTGAGTTCTTATTTTTCAACTTGAGTCAGTGCCAAGAAATTTGAAGTGATATATTTTCGTGAAGGTCACATGATGATTTAATGAAGATTTATACATTTTATGTCATGATGAATCTTTGTGCAACAATAATGGAAGTTTGAGGATCAAAATGCTCAGCTTTAAAGGTTAGACCAAGTGGCAAGAAGCCCTATAGGTCGGGAAATAAGTTCTGCAATTTTCAATTTTTTGTTTTTCTGTTTTTGCCAATTGCAAGTATTTTTTTTTTTTTGTTGGTTCTTATAACATCACAGGTGGCTCTGTTGAATAAACATTATTAGCACAGTGTGAAAATTAGAACCACCTTTTTCCTAGTTAGGCAGGCCAAATTCTTTACCAGTAAAGTCTTGATTTGTATTGGTTTGTTGTTTTTAGGTACGTTCGCTGTTGTCTGATTACCTGATTAGAATGATTCTCATTAACATCGTATTCACTGCCCATCAATCATTTCAAACATCTTAATAACAAAAAATAAAATAAAAATTAGACTAAGCCATTGTTTGGTGAGGATTAAAATCAAATTTTTAATAAATTTTGACAAAAGTTAATATGTGTCGTTAAAAATTTGTCAATCCCGTAAAAGTTTATTGCTGCAATAATCCTACCGTATGGCCTCATTGCCAATTACCTTCTACCTTTTCAAATTGGCTGAAAAATCCACCTTTGAGGCGTAAAGGATCCAATTTTCTCAATAAAACTTTGTAAAATGACAAATATACTCTTCTATTTGAATAAAACAAAAAATTAATTTCTACTGTAGACTCAATTTTCAAAAGAGTATAAATGAATCCCAAAAAAAAAAAATGAAAAAATGAAAATAAAATAAAATAAAATCCTTCTCTATGCTACCTAACCGCTCTTCTACTACCATTGCTTCCATCGTCGTCACATTTTTCGATCCTCATTTTATTCGAAAAATTGGGCCCAATTCATCAATTTGCAGAGCCTCGACAATGTCTATGTTATTCTGGAGTATCAATGCAAGAAGATACACATTTCTCCTTCTCTTGCTTTTTTGGGGTGAAAATTTACTGCCAAACGGGGGTTATATTTATTATAGTGGATTTGGCCAGAGTTGCCTGTAGTTTTTTTTCCTCTACACCGGAGAGTATTTTCATGTAAAAATTTGGTGTTGTGTTCTCCTATTTTGCTTTGATCATCTATTTGCATATTTAATCACTCTAATTAGTTGCTTAGATTGTTAAATTTATTCTTACAATAAGTGAAATTGCCCAAGAAAGTGGTATCAGAGCTAGGTTGTGTGGGTGTGGTTCTATTGCAAAAGTAAATGGAGAATACTTCAAACACTATGATTAAATTATTGGCTTCAAATTATTCTTTATTGTAAGGATTTACACAAACCTATTGAAGACGATAGTGTTAAGCCAAGCAATATGCATGATAGTGTCTGGAAGACGATGAACAAGAAAGCTATTGGATATATTAGACAGTGGGTTGGCCTTAATGTATTCCATTATATATCTCAAGAGACAAATGCTCATAGCCTTTGGGAAAAATTGGAGAGTCTCTATCAGAGGAAAACTGCTCAAAATAAAGCTTTTGCTATTAGAAAGCTTGTAAATCTGAAGTTAAAGGAGGGAAAATTCGTTGCTGAGCATTTGAGTGAATTCTAAGACTTGGTAAATCAGTTGACAACAATGAAAATAGTGTTAGATGATAAGATGCTAGCGCTATTATTTTTGAGTTCATTGTCTGATATTTAGGAGATTTTGGTAGTATCACTTAGTGACTCTACTCCGAATGGTGTACTTGAACTTACTCTAATTAAAAAAAGTTTGTTTAATGAAGAAATAAGAAGGAAAGACTTGGGTAAGAATGATGCATATGCTCTTATTACAGAGAACAAAGGAAGGAGTAAAAGTAAAGGTCCTAAGGGACATGGTAACTTCAATAGTCAAATAAAGGCAAGAGAAAATGTCAAATATTTTTTTTGTGACAAAGAGGGTCATATAAAGAACATTGCATGTCTTGAAAAATAAATTGAAAGAGGAGAAAAATCATAAGAAGATGGATCAAAATACAGCAGTTTGCGCTTCAGATGAGGAAGTAGTGGTAGCAGTTTTTTACGTTGAAGATTAGCAGTGTTGTCATGTTGCAGATTCATTTGTTGAATGATTATTGACTCAGGGGCTTCTTACCATGTTACTCCAAGACGAGAGTTCTTCACTTCTTACAAAACAGATTACTTTGGCAGGATGAAGATGGATAATGACAGTTTTGTCAGCATTATGAGAATTGGTGATATCTGTCTTTAGACAATATTAGATGCAGCTTGACATTGAAGAATGTGTGATATGTTCCCGACATGCGTCTGAATTTGCTATCTACACATGCCTTTTGATGAAGCAGGGTATGATAGTTATTTTGGTAGCGAAAGATGAAAATTAACAAAAGGGTCGATGGTAATTGCTAGAGGGAAGGTTTATTGAACACTTTATAAGACACAAGTAAAGGTGTATAGTGAAACGATGAATGCAATTGAAAGTGATTGCTACACTTGTGGCACAAGTGGCTGACTCACATAAGTGAGAAGGATTACAGATTTTGGCAAAGAAGTCCATCATTCTTTTTACCAAATGTACATCATTAAATTCATGTGATTATTATTTACTTGGTAAACAGCATAGAGTTTCCTTTCAAAAATCCTCTAGTAGAAAGTCTAATATTTTAGATTTGATTTATTCTGATATTTGTGGTCACATTGGTCACATGTGCCTGAGGAACAATGGTTGAAACTACATGATAAAGCTAGTCCTTGTATTTTTGTTGCCTACGGAGATGCAGAATTTGGTTATAAATTATGGGATCTATAAAAGAAAAAGATAATCAGAAGTAGAGATGTGATCTTTCATGAAAATCAAAAGTTAATAGATTTCGAGAAATTTGGGGTTCAAAGACGTGTTGATGAGGGTGTCACTAACCTTATACTTGTTTCTTTGCCTTCAAACAGTGCCACTCAGGAGGTAGAAATATACGTTGACAGTCATGCTAATGAGCCAGCAAGGGTTGATAAGCATGATCTAAAGGATGTTGAGTAGGGGGGGCAACCTACTATATTAGAATATCTACTAGGGAGCATTACCCATCAACTAGGTATCGTGTATCAAATTATATGTTGGTAACTGATGAGGAAAAGCCAGAATGCTTTCAGGAGGTACAATCTCATAAGGATGACAAAATTGGGTGAAAGCTATACAGGACAAGATGAATTCTTTGGAAAAGTAACACTTATGAGTTAGTAGAGCTTTCTAAAGGTAAAAAGGCATTGAAAAATAAATGGGTGTTCAAACCAAAGAAAGATGGTGAAAAGCTAGTGAAGAATAAAGCTCGATTGGTGATGAAGGGTTTCAATTAGAAGAAAGGGATTGACTTTGATGAGATATTCTCTCCTGATGTCAAAATGACTTCCATTCAAGTAGTTTTGGGTTTAATAGCCAGTTTAGACCTTGAGTATCAGTTAGATGTGAAGATCGCTTTTCTCCATGGGGGTTCAGCCAGTGGGATTTGAAGCAAGAGGAAAAAAATATTGTTTGTAGGTTAAAAAAGAGTTTGTACGGACTAAAACAGACTCTAAGACAGTAGTATAAAAAGTTTGATTCCTTTATGGTGGGTCATGGTTATACCAGGACAGATGCAGATCATTGTGTTTATGCCAGAGAATTCCATGATGGTAACTTCGTCATCCTTTTGCTATATGCAGATGATATATTAATAGTGGGACAAGATGTACAGTTATTTCGAAGTTTGAAGGTAGATTTGTTCAAATCGTTTGACATGAAGGATCTTGGACCATCAAGGCAAATTTTGAGGATGCATATTCATCGTGATAGAAAAGTCGGAATGTTATAGTTATCATAAGAGAAATATACAGAAAGAGTGCTAGAAATGTTTAACATGAAGAATGCTAAACCAGTTGGAACACCACTTGATATTCACTTCAAACTGAGTAAGGTGACTTATCCTTCTAAGAAGGAAGATAAAGAAATAATGACAAAGATTCCTTACTCATCTACTGTTGGGAGTTGATATATGCCATGTTTTGTACACGACCATACATTGCTCATGCAGTTGGAATAGTCAGCAGGTTTCTTATTAATCCTGGTAAAAGTTATTGAGAGGTTGTGAAATGAATTTTTAGATACTTAGGAGGTACTTCAAAGATTTGCTTAACTTTTGAAGGTTCAAAATCAGTTTTGGAGGGCTTTATAGATGCAAATATGGCTGGTGATCTTGATGGTAGAAAATCAACTTCAGGATATTTGGTCACCTTTGCAGGGGAAGCTGTCTCATGACAATCAAAATTATAAAAGTGTGTTGCCTTATCTAGAACTGAGGCTGAGTATATTGTAGCAACTGAAGCAGCAAATGAAATGCTTTGGATGAAAAGGTTTCTGCAAGATTTAGGTTTGAAGCCCAATCCTCGTTATATTATATATATATATATATATATATATATATAAACAGGGACTAAATTCAGAGACAAAGAAAAGTGGCTGCATATTTAGAGAAAAATTTTTGGGGGCTACTACATGAAAAGGGCTGCACAATTGGAAAAATGAGGGCTAGCTATGTGGCAGAAAAGATGAAAAAAGGGGAAATGAAAAATGATTTTTTCTTTCAATCTTTTGGGTATGGATTCACACGGGTTTTTCTTCTCTACATAGTACAAATTGTAGATTTCTCTAATGTTTATTTTGGGTACTCTAGATATGTATTATTCAAAATAGGTATATCACAAGTTTCATCAAATTGGTGTTTTATGGTGAGATTATTTGTTGTCATAGAGGTTGATTGTCGTTGAATTTTCAATTTGTTGAGA